TGTCAGCAAGAATACTCAGTGTGCCAGTCACTCCCAGAGTCACAGACCCATCATTAAATGTCCAGCAAGTGGTTGTGTGAATAGTAAAGTACAGTGAAACAAACATTTGGCTAAAAATAAATAGGGAAGAAGGAATATGACCAAACTTGTTATGGACACCAGAAATTTCTACATTTCTGTTTTAGAATATGTTCTTCCTAAGTACCCTGTAAACTGCCAACAACATCTACATATTTCAATGAATTTAGATAATTTATTTTAAAAGAGTAATGTGATTTGCCAGAGCACCTGCAGTGGATAAAACATAGAATTCACACTGAGAGGTCACCTGAGCATCTTCCTTCATGAAAACTCTTTTTTTATCCAAAAGATATAAATCATTCATTCTAATAAGTAAGATATTGTAGGTACTACTTACTAGCAGTGGAATTCACCTTTCCTTCAAACATCTCCCAATCTTCCCTCCTGTACCTTCACATTACACTGAGCTCTAAAGAAAAGGCCTCATGACAAAAATCTTGTTTGGTGGACATCCTCACCATTCAAAAGGATAATCAGTTAGCAGGACTAACCTGAGAAGGAAAGCTCATGTTATTCTAAAGTATTAACTAGATTCTGTGCTAAAATGAAAAGGAACACAGCAACCCAGAAGTCCAATATAGTTGCCAACATTTTTCTCTTTTGTGTGTCCTCTAGAGAATGACCCATAACTGAACCAGGAAACCAACATAAGAGCATGAACTGATGTTTCTTTCATCTAAAATGACCCAAAATGCCCTCCTGGAAAAAGAGGGGGGAAAAAAAAAGTTTGGGGGTGGAATTTGTCTTCCCACACTACCGCTAAATCTCTGGGTTAAAAATCCATGCAAATCCAATGCAATGAAAAAATGTGATGAAAATGAAATTAATGTACTTTTGTACATTTGAGAATTTGGAAGAATCCCCCTTTCTTTTGAACATATAAAATGAAAAGATCCACAACACCCAGAAGGCTGTGAATAATTATTTTTACTAACAGGACTGCCAGAAATTTTTAAACACTTACTAAGCACAAGATTTCAAGATTAAAAAAAAATTAACTTTTAAGTTTTTTCCCCAGATTCCTTTCCTCAACAGACTTCACATAAAGAACTTATTTCAATTTTCCCCTCTATTAAAAATAGATGACATTAATAAAGCCAAAGAGGAGGCATTTCTATTCATCTAAATTCTGCAAGGAAGCATATTTACGCAGATGGATTTGGATGTGAACAGTACAAATCATTCAGAAGTGTGGCTGCAGTGCCTCAGGATTGGCCTTCCTTGGGACGTAAACAATAAACTCAATTCTGCTGTTAACTTACTGATTGCACAGGTGCCACTCTAACAGCATATTCTCACAGCTGATAAAAACACATCTTATTTCTTGTGAACTTTCAGTAGCTGACGTTCTGCATCATTCAGTGGCAAATGAAGACCACAGCACAGAATTCAAAATTATTTATAATGAAAGCCAACAGAGAGCTCAAATTCTTCTGTTGTTTGCACTGAAGTAATCCTAAAGTAACTTGATTTCTAAAACAAAATTGAGTTTTGATTGAATTTTGTCTAAAATACTCCAGGAGTTGTGTTAACAATTAACTGTAAAAGAGTGATGTAGTCTTTTTTCCCCTTGTGGGCCAAGCTATACTCTTCCAAGGAGGAAGCACTTAACCATTTATGAACTATAGCATTCCTGAGCAGAAACAATCTAGCCTGTTTTGCTCTTCTCACTTGCTGATCAAAAAGTATTTCTATCAACTTGTGATCTCTGGAACATGTTGGTGTGGGCTGGGAAATCCCCAACCACCAAGACTGACAACAATTCAAGTATTTTTACTCTTTGTAAAACATGATCTCAGTTTTCTTATGTGGTAGCCAAGATGGCGGCATAACAGGAGTTCATCCTGGCTGCAAAGTGCCTGGAATCTCATATTCACAGAATAAAGTTTCCTGATATAAGGAAAATAACAGAAAGCCTATGGTCAATGCTGTTTCTAAAACAAAGGGGTTTGTAAACTATTAGCAGAGTCTTTCTGACTCTAACTGAACAGGTTTAATCAGCTGTTGGCTAAACGAGGTCATCATATTTACACCCTTGCTCCCTAATTTAGCCAAATCAAGCCAGCTGCTTTTTAATTTGGTTATAAATATAAAAGCAAATGGGTATCTGTCACAGCATATACCACAGTTGAGATGGCCACTACACACAGAGTATTACCACACAATTTCAGAAGGCTTTAAGCATTCCCCCAAACAGAGTCACACTTACCACATCAGCAGGCCTCAGGTGTCTGCCCATACAGAGTAACACCAGATCAGTTCAGAAGGCTGCAAGCATCTGCCCTTCCTGCTCTTTAACCCAACCTTTTATCCCCTCATGTTGATGCCCTGCCCCTATGTGCCTCTGCTCCCTTTGGTGGTTGGTCAGTGCCCCTGGGCACTCCATGGCTCATTGCTGCCAGTGCTGCTCACCTGCTGCTCACAGCTGCACCCATTGGGGATGGGGCTGGGCCAGCCCCACTCACAATTACCCCAAACTGGGTACTACAGGTATGTAGTAGCCTATACAGCAAGACAGGCAGAACTCTGTCAGTGAATAGCTGCCAAAAAACTTAAGAAATAAATGTTGTCAATATTTAAGAACAGCCCATACTACTTCTTTACTAAAAAATGAAATGTACTTCAAGCATATTCAAGGAAATTATTCACCTCTGTAAACCAGGTGAAAATAGTGGGACTGTCATCTGGATTTCAATTCCAAATTTACTCTAGAATAACAACTACTCTAGTTTATTAACTCAGTTTGTGAAGTGCATAAATAAAGCATCTTTGATAAAATGATAAAGTTTGACAGTCTGCAATAGCCTGGGGAGACTATTCCATACATCACTGTGCTAAGGAAGTGCTGTGCTTTTGTGAAATGCTTTAATACAGTGATATTGACAGGACCAAGAGAGCCTAAGGTAAATAAATATTGTCTCCCTTTTGAGAAAGCTGTTTACTTCATGGTATCTTCATCCTTAATAAATGCTTAGATTCACTTTATGAGTTACAGTTTTTTCACAAAATACGGATTATTTTAATCACGTCAGTTAAATACACCATGACTCCTCCAGGCGGGTAAAAAGGTGTTCAGGCATTGTTGAGTCAGGCATCAACAAGCCACGGTAGAACATCTGCATGTTCGTTTTGAAGACCAGAACCTTTCATAATCTTTATATATCCAAAGAACTGGATGAGCAAAGAAATGGTGATTTATCTACCCAGCATTTTTTTCTGTATTGTTTCTGTATTTGCCTACATGGGAAACTGTAGTAAAAGCAGAAAACAATTTCAAATCAAGTAGAATAAAGCTGTTCTACTTCACATCCTTCAGTTTTTAGCAGATATTATCATTTCACAGAACAGGCTGTTACTTTTTGTTTATATTTAGTGCTATACGTCTTTCAAGATCATGTACTGAGCAACAATCTAAAATAAATTAATACACTCAGCAAGAGATGAAAGAAAACAAAAATAATGAAGAGGCAACATGGTGTAATACTTGTTATAAAATAAAGAGTTTGTGAGATCAGAGGGAGGAAAAAAATCAGTGTAACTAAAGGTTTAGGTGAGATTTGGGGTCAGACTCTATCTCTCCTTTAATTGTTTTTTCTCAACAGACCTGCAGGCCCAACATATAATGTGTGCCTAAGACAATTGGAGATGTTCTACCCTACCCTGGCTCCCTGTCCATAGTGGGTCTCTCTGCCTTAGCTCTGACATTAACTCCTCATTCCACCACTCCTTGGCAAACTGATTAAATATAGAGCATCTTAATGGACTTAATGGACTACTGCATATACTAACTTCATCTTTATTGTATAGTATATCAAAATAAAAATTAAAATAGCTAAGCCATATATAGGAAATACCATTAAACATTCTAGTATATTAAAACCATTAAGAATTTCATGCAAGAAATTTCAAAAATTGCACATACTCTTTTCTCCTCCTACCCCAGCAATGTAAAAGCAAATATCACAGCCAATACAATATACATAAACAATATGTATATTGTATATTGCATATACAAGTCTGCATTTGAATTCTGAGCCCTGGCTCTTAAAGTCAGGTTTAACTGCTATCATGAGTAGAGTTTCTAAATTAACTATTATTACTTTTGTCTGTACTCCTTCACTGTTTATTCTCAAGGCACCATGGCATCTTGTAGTTTACCACCAGGGGATTGGTAGAAAGCTGTTAAAACAGACGTTTTTGTAAATCTTAGGTAGAGTGGCTCCTACTGCTGCTATGGTAATAGAGCAAACCAAATATGTGACTGCAACACAGACCAAGAAAAAGTTCTGCAGAGACTGTGAGTTAATAGTGCCCACATCATTTCTGTCCCCACTGCTGCTCCGTTTGATGCACCAACACAGGACCAAAAGACCACTTTGATACAGCCCACTGTAGATATTTAATATCCCTTCACTTTGTCTCATCTATGTGTACTCACACCAAGCACAAAACTCCTGATTTTTGTTCCTTCTTGGCCATGAGGTTGGCTTAGCAATACACCTCTGGAAAATGTTCTAGCTTTCACCATATTACCTACTGCTGTACTAGAATTATTCCCTTCCCATGTTTTACATCACAAATTATGTCAGAATAATAATGAATCAAATCAAAACACAGAATGACACTGTTTACTTGATGTGAACATGCTCTGAGAGTGAAATTAGACTTGCTAAAATGCACATGCATAAAACTCCCATCTTTTATATCCATCATCCAGTGTTCTTAAAAATGTGTAAGTACATATTATGAACACAGTGTAGTTCAGCACAAAATGAAACCATGCTGGGCCTGCTACAAGTTCAGTGTCCAACAAAAATTAGCTTTTACATGTTGTGGGAACCTCTTGCATCATAGTCAAAGCCTTATGGATTTTTTTTCTATTTTGTCATATATTTCCTCATCAAGCTTTTCTCAATGGTTTTCTTACAACTCCAAATTTTCCAATTACCTGGAGTTTTGCTCCATTTTTCTCCATTTGCTCCATGCATCAGGACATGCTCAGCTATGGCCTTCTTCCTAAACAATGTTTTAAGAAAACCTTGTTATTTTCATTCATTTCTTAAGGTAGGTCTGTGAAACAAGGTCCTTTTAAGCATATTACCTGTCAAGTTTCAGTCATTACTATGTAAACATGTATTTGTCTTCTCATGGGTGCTCAAATGAGTGGTAAATTGAGTCAGGCAGAACTGAAATCCTAGCACTTACTAAAAACTACAATTAGACTGATAAGAAATTAATGATCTTGCAAACTACTGGTGAAAACTCTCGTTTGAATTACAGTCTTGTTAACTTTTCTTCCTTCACTCTAGTAAAAGCCAAACATATAAATGAGGGGAAGAAAATGAAGTAATACAAATTATGCAGAGAAATGTTTAAATGGTATTCATCAGTACTTCAGTTAAATATCTCCAAACAATCATTCAGAGTGTTTTTGATGCTAACATTTTTAATAATTTTGCATATCCAGAATAGATTCTATGATATTTTGACTTCAGTATTTTGTTAAAAACAGCAAGCAAAAAAAAAAAGTGTTTCAGTAAATATTATCATAAAATATTGACTTGAATTGAAACCAAAAAAAAACAACCTGACTGACAATCAAAACATTAAGATTAAAAAAACCACTGTAAACTTTATCTTATTTCATCCTGCAATTCTTCTCAATAATATTTGTTCATAGCAATAAATATAACAATTACAATGTGCTAGGTAAGATCATTTTAGAATGATTAAATAAACCTAGTGCTATTTTATCTTTAAAAAGAAATCAGACTTGCAAAGAAATACTCATTAGTAATTTGAAAACCATGCTATGCTACACTTGCATTTAATAAGGTAATGATTTACATTTATGCAGTACCTTTTATCCCAAAGCAATTTACAATTTACAGCCAGAGATTATCACTTCATCTCCAGTGGAACTCAACAAATGTGAAGTGTACAAATTCTGGTAGGTAACAATAAATATAAGGTTTCAGTTGAATAACCAACTCTTATATTTATACCTCCAATTAAATCAAACAAAAAAATTAAATCATTTTTCTGAAGTGGTATTGCCCTTTTTACCTACCATCTACTTGTAACATGAGAAACAGGTTCTACAAGAAGCAGAAAAACATTTTCCCATTACAGATTATCTGAAATACAGAAATATTGGTGGTTCATCAAGGATTCTGAAAGTGCCATCTAAGATACAGGTAGCACTTCTTCCTCAACTGCTTCCTATGAACAACAGTAGTTAGGAATAGCTTGGGATCAGAAACAAATTTAGAAAAACCTCTGATGTTCAGACATGTCAATGTAGACAATGTTTAAAAAAATATATAGATCTACAAAGCATTCAAAATGTAACAAGTTCTACTTTATCCACTAGAACAACCATATTACCTTAAAACAAGCTGTATACTTCCATTTTCTGTGAGTTTGCTCTCTGGAATGCACACTTTCACCTTGTAGTGTGTATCAACAGGGATGAAGAATTGCTCCTTTAAAAAACAAAGAAACAAAACAAAAAAGCACTGAAGGCAAGAAGTTATATGACAAAAATTAGAGTGGTTTTAGGATAAAAACACTGGCTATCTTGCTCTATGGTTAAACAAAATCAGTTTTGGTTTTCCAAGAAAATTTGGCATGAGTGTAACTATGACTGAAACTCAGGCTTTCCAGTATAGAAAAACAAGGATGTGAATGAAACGGACAAAAGCATAAAACCCTGATAAAATGTGAAAACACCTTCTTGTCCAGTCAGTCTGTGGAACCACCTGATGTGATATATAGTGAAAAACAAAATATGAGCTCAACATTTCAGACACCAGTGGATCATTTCATCCTCAGCATGCAAGACAAAGTCCTTCAAGAAATAAATGCCCAACACTGGCATGTAACATCCAGACCTGACCATGCCACCACACATTTAAATTGCCTAATGCAACTCTGTGTAAATTTCCATAAAATGTCAAGCAATTTTTAGAATTTGTAGTCTCCTTTGGAGACACAATGACCACAGAAAGGAAAGAAGAGTTCACAAAAACCTACATAAAAATCCATTCCAGTTCCAGGATCAGATTCTGATTCTTGCCCTGGGGCCTCCAGAGGGCTGAGGTTCAGTTGACCTTCCACAAGAGTGGGGAGAAGGAAGGCACTGCAGCTCTCTAAGAACCTGCTGGTGACAGAACCACACAGATCACTGACCTGATTGATTTCATTTCACAGCATACACAAAAGTCCTACAAGAAGTGGCTATATTGTCATTGCTATGTTTTAAATTAATAGAAAGAACAAGTAAAGCACTAATTGATCATCTACTGTGAATAGATCTGGAGAAATACTTAAAGCAGCAACGTGAATACCCTGTCAGAATAAATTATAAAACATGCATTTCCATATAGATCTCAGAGCAAATACTTCATGCAGTCTGACAAGGCCATTTTGAATTGATCACACCCAGTTCTTCTCAGACACTCATGCATAAACCCTTGCTACAACAACATTAATGAGCAATGACATAAGGAATTTTGGTCTAACCAAACAGACTCCATCTGAACAGTTCCATGCTTAAACCCTTAAACTCCTTCCCCATCTCCCTTTAAGCAAATGAGGGGTTTTTCTTTAAAGGTGAAAAAAATTATCACATAGCTGTCATTTCATACATTTTTTTCAGCAAACCCTCTCAATTGAAGTGCAGTATAACAAACAGGAACATAATTAGGCTACAGTGGAGGCAAAAGGTGAAAAAAATTAGCTGTCATTTCATACATTTTTTCAGCAAACCCTCTCAATTGAAGTGCAGTATAACAAACAGGAACATAATTAGGCTACAGTGGAGGCATTTTGTTCCTCACAGACTACATCCACCTCCCCTCTTGCTCCACATCAGGCTAGTTATTCACAGAGACTTTGAAAGAACTAAAATTGCTTCAGAGTTTTAGTTAATCAACTGAGCCAGGCAAATCTCTCACAATTTTCATTTTCTCGCAACTGTCACTTTTTGACCTGAGCCAATCTTTTCTAAAGACTGTATTCTACTACGTGGGTTTAGAACAAAACAACACGGAAAAAAAAAAAAGAAAAAAAAAAAACACAGAAGCTTAAACCAAAAGTTCTTAGTAATTTCTAAGAGATTTATGGTTTGCAACAGGTCCTAAACATCTGGATATTGAAATAATATTCTTTTGATTACATATAATCAGTAATCTAAATGGTCAAGTGACCTTACAGTACATTTTTATGCTGCTCTCCTCCAAGCTTTCACTTAGAGAGCAAAATTGTACAGCATATCACAGGAGCTACAGAAGCATGTTACAAATTCTAAGTTCCCATCCACTCTACATCTTTGGGTGTCAGTACCACGGGGAAGTTTCAGGAGACAGTGTGTGTAACATAAGAAGATCAATTATCTGCCACCTGGCTTGTGGTTGGAAAGTTAAAAATATTCCAGCTCTAATTTATGCAAAACTTTGTGGAGTGCAGAAGGTATTCCAGGAGAATGTGATCCAAGATGTCATTATCCTTAAGAACAAGCATTACAAGCAGCAGATAACCATCACTGGTGTTGTCTGTCTTCTGAAGCACCAGAGAACAGCCTGCACGAATTTAAAGAGTCAGCCCCTCCTTACAGACCACATGTGAAGGTCTCAGGTTCTGGATTGCCAGGGAAATGTAGCACAACCCAGGACAAGGTCCCAGGTATGTTGGTACCTCCTGGGACTATGCTGGTTGATTGTTCTTACCATGAGCAACTACTACTACTTAACTACTACTGCTACTTCTTTTAGTACCTAAATATGGTAGAGTCATCAAGGAGAAAGCTACATCAAATCTTCAGTTTATTCAGCCCAAGCTGAAGTTGTTCTCAATTTTTATTTTTTTCTAGGTTGTAGACTAAAAAGCCAAACCAAACTCAAGACAAATACCAGTCAAAACATATTTATTTTTTCCTTCCTCAATCTGAAAATGAAACTTAACTGTTAGTTTGATGTTTCTGTCAAACGGGAATGGAAACTTCTTCCTTTTTCCCTCATTTTTTATTTCCCTTAGAAAAGAAAATTCTGATTACTGGTTCAGAACAACAGTTTGACTAACATTGACATTCCTTAGTGGACGCCATTTAGCACAGAAACTTTTTACTTCTGCTAGAATTTGCAGTTGCATTATACTGATTCCTTTAAGTTCATTTTTCTCCCTTCACATGAACACCAGTGCATGCAGTATTAGTGTCTGCACACACTGTTCTGCCAATCCTGCTGAGCTCAAACACCTTCCTCAAAGAAGTTTAAACTAAAGGTGACAGAAGGCTGGACCTTTAATTCTTCTTGTTGCATGGAGACATATAAATAGGCCCCACCAGCACACCCTTGCACACATCACCCCCCCTTTGGTGCTCCCTGCACAAGTGTCCACGTGTTTCACCTGCATGTGCACAGGGTTCCTGGTGGCCATTGCCTCTGCTCTCTGGTCACAGCCTGCACAGCTCCAGCCACCCCCAAAGCACTGCAATGCCACAGCTCCTCAGCCAGTGCACAAAACACAAACACCTGGGGAGAAGCTGCTGCACCTGTTGGCAATGTGGGTGAAGGACACCAGACTCCAGCAGATGAAAACCAAAGCTGTTACACAGTGGGGGGGATGCTGCAGATCCCATGTGCCCCTCTCCATTTGTAAATTATACATTTCCCACAGACAACTGTATCAGGATTTCTGAACCAACTAACAGATCACTAATAGCTTGAATGCAAACACCATCAGAAAGAGCTGACCTAAAGCCAGAATTTATCCTACAAAATCTGCTTGACTACTTGCGTGAAATTAAAAGTCTTTAAAAAGTAACCATTCATGTAATGTCTTGTACTGTGCTTAACCAGATAATAAGCAAACATAAATTGTCTATTATGTAAATTTCCTTCTCTTGAACGTAAGTTGCTTTTCCTTTGCATATTACACCACCAAGTGGCATAATGCTCTTATTTTTGTTCAATGTGTTTTCTCTAGAGACACCACTACACAAAACAGAATTTAATTTAAAAAGATGACTTGCTACCTAAACAAAAAAAAATTAACTGGAGTATCATCTAAGACATTCAGCTAGACACTTGTTTTAAACTTTCTCCTATTATAGCTTACAAGTGCAAATTTAATACAAGTACAAAGTTCATCATCGTTTTTCCTCTTACAGCATTTAAACTTTTTAGGAAAAGGTTTCTCTCCACATTATTTGGGTAATACCCTATACCTACTGGAGAATTGTGATGTGCCTGCCATAAGCACAGACATTTTCAGATATTTTATTCAATTTAAAACATGACAAGAGTAATTAATATACATAGGGAAAACAAATGTTTAGGACTTTAAAGTTTGGCCAAGTATGAGAACCAAGGAAGTTCAGAACTGTAATATCTTGATTGAACAAGCAAATCTTGCAGGTATTTGAAACAAGCAGGACAACACACATGAATGAGGGCAATGGGACCTGGCTTGGAATCATGAGTAAATTTGGTTACATTTCAAAGGACCCATCAGTTCAACCTAGAGTTCAAACTTTTCATCCTCAATTCCAACACCCAGCCTTATGCTGCTAGCAGATGGTGTGGTTTTATCTGGAAATCCACTCCATATTTTGACTATATATATATATATATATATAATCTAGTGGCTCCATATCCTCCAGCTGACTAGGGAAAAGCAGGGATGATGGATAAATCCCATTTGTCCATCAATCCCCTCTCATGAGGATCCAGCTGAATCCTGTTTAATTTTCCCTACCTGTGCAGCAATAGCAGCCAAGAACCAAGGTCATAAATGTTTAAATTTCATGCAATTTCATGCATGTCTAGCAAAATTTTTGCTATTTTAATTCAGAGGTGTGCAACAAGGTATTTCTTCAGGTGCACAAAATCACTTCAAAAGAGAGTTATTAAAAGAGGTGCCAGCAGGATTTGGGCAAGGTCACAGGAAAGATATTTACAAAACACAGATTTGTACAAATATACACACAGAGATATTAGAGCATGATCCATGTGAGTGCTTTATGGGCAATAAGATAATCATCCCTATGACTGAATTACAACCTTAATTTAAAGTTTATTACAGTCATAAGGATCTTGGGGTAGAAACAGATAATTGCCTATTTTCATGAATATATGAATTAGACACTTTCAGTGCTAAACTGAAAAAAGAGAAAATGCATCATAATGATGAGACTGTCTATTCAAATTAAGGGAGAAAATTCATCTATCACAGTGGATTTTGTCAGGACAAGGAAAATGACAATGTCCCTTTAATACTCACAGAATCAAGAAAATATTCATATTGATCACATTTCAGATAATGAGTAACTGATTTAAAAGTCATATGAATAACTCAACAATCAATAAAATATTGACAGCATTCTTTACTTGTGCCACATGTGTTCAGATACTTTCAGAAAGATGTGTTGGGGTAAAAAACTTGTTTAAAATTAATGTCTGTCACAAAAATTTTATTCTAATGTTTCCATGACTATAAACCAAACCCACTTAGGAAAACCTCCCAGTGACTTTAGCATCCCAGGTTTCTATATGCTTGACATTCACAGAAACCTGCTCCCAAGGACTCTGGCACACTCTCCTCCTGCGCCTTGCAGCAGCCTCTGCACCTTTCTGCTGTTACCAGGATCTGCCTCTTCCTCCTGAAGCAGTGATTAAGCAACAAGGTTTCACTAAGCTTTTTATATCTCTGTTAACACACTAAATTATAATGCCTATCCTATACATCACTGAGCAAAGACAAACCCACAAACAACCCTGCTTATTTGCATTCTTCTTTTTTTTTTTTTTTGGTGGGGGGGAACACAAAAAAAACCCCACATTATCAATTTAAATAATTTTGGTATTTGATGTCTAGCTAAATGATAAACACTAATATGATCTTATGCTTTCCATGGGTCTCAATAAAATTTCTTTACAAGATGGAAAAGGTATATGTGAAAACACTTGGACATCCTGGAAGTGTTGAAGGCTGGGCTGGATGGAGCTCTGAGTAACCTGGTCTACTGACAGGTGTCCCTGTCCATGGCAGAGGGGCTGGAATTAGGTGGTCTTTAAGGTCCTTTCCAACCCAAACCATTCATGACTCAATGATCTATTTTCAAACATTTTCTCTGTTAGTGGCTCACAGTGATAACAACAAACATTA